CCACGCCGCGCAGGGGAGCCGGCTCAGCGCGGCCGTCCCCGCAGTGAAGAACCAGGCGCGCTGGGTGGCGCAGTTCCTGGCCGACATGTCCGCGTTGCACGCGCGCACCGGGGACGCGCGCTTCAACGTCGTGCTGGTGGATTTCGAGAGCGAGGACATGGACGTGGAGCAGGCCCTGCGCACAGCGCGGCTGCCCCGGTAATTGCGCCCCCGGGAGGACCCAGCGCCTCTGCGGGCCCGGGGCAGGGAAGTGGGTTGACTTCCCCGCGCGCTCCCCCGCCAGGTACCAGTACCTGAGGCGAACCGGCAACTTCGAGCGCTCTGCTGGGCTGCAGGCTGGAGTGGACGCGGTGGAGGTCCGTGGACCCTATCGGGGTGTGGGGGGCGGTGGCGTGGGAGGCCTTCGGGAGCAGAGGCCGGGGCTCAGACGCCTGCGACCCCCAGGACGCCAGCAGCATCGTTTTCCTCTGCGACCTGCACATCCACTTCCCGCCCAGCATCCTGGACAGCGTCCGCAAGCACTGCGTGGAGGGCAAGCTGGCCTTCGCGCCCGTGGTCATGCGCCTGGGCTGCGGGAGCTCGCCGGGGGACCCCCATGGTATTGCCCTGACTGCCCCCCTCCCGCCCGTCCAGCAACGCCGGGGTCCCACCAACCACCAGAGTAAAGTCCGCAAACCCTGGGGCGTGTCCCGACACCCAAGATCATCATGGGACCACATCAGTACCCCCTGTGGTGTCCAGGACAGCCGCCCCCCGAACAGCCAGGGTCATACTGGGTCCCTAGGAACCTCCCCAGGATCCCACGGTCGTGAGCCAGGCTCCTGGGTTATGGCCCAACACCCCGAAGAGCCCCCGTAGCGATGGGACCCTGCACCACACCTCTTGCTGAGGTCCCACAGAGGCCCTTGGGGAGGAGGCCGCGCAGGACCTGGCGCCTAAAGGGCGATGCCCTCCCCCTCCCGCACCTCCTGCCCAGGCTACTGGGAGGTGAATGGCTTCGGCCTCTTTGGGATCTACAAGTCGGACTTTGACCGTGTTGGAGGCATGAACACTGAGGAGTTCCGAGACCAGTGGGGCGGTGAAGACTGGGAGCTCCTGGACAGGTGACCGCCCCCACCCCCGCGGGACCGAGCAGACCCCCATCCTCCTCCTCTGAGTGGAGAGACCCCAGGAGCCCTCCCATGCGGAGGGGACTCTGCCACTCTCCCCTGTCTTCCCAGGGTCCTGTGGACCCAGAGAGACCCTTCCCACCCACCCACTCCCCACAACTCCTCCCCAGCCCCAGGTCCTGCAGACACAGGGATGGCCCTGACCTAATTCTGCCCCAGATCCTATAGGCCCTGTGGTGGCCCTGAGACCCCGTCTACTCCCCAGGGTCCTGCAGGCAGGGCTGGAGGTGGAGCGGCTCCGGGTGCGGAACTTCTACCACCACTACCACTCCAAGCGGGGCATGTGGGGCACTCGCAGCCGGAAGGGCTCCCGCAAGGAGGCATCTTGAAGACGGGCAGCCCCGCAGCTCCTGCTGGAGTCCTCTGGTACCTGGGGACTCGGTGGTGCTGGCCAGAGGGGCCACTGCCACCCACCGCCCGTGCCTGCCCCCTCTCTCCCACCGAGGTCCCAGAGAGGCAGCCTTCACTGTTCGGGGCCACCCTCGGTCCCACATACTGTGCGATGATTTCTGTGAAATTTTGCTGTAGCGATGACATTGTTTTCAGGATTTCCAAGAGTTCTGTCTGTTCCGTTTTTTATTCAGAATGAAATGAAATATTTTTTTTAGTTCTGACTCATCCTCTGTGCCTTGCTCTCTTGGGAGGGCAGAGAGCCCCGGGCCCACGGCTGGCCCTGACTGCCCACCAGTCGGTGTCCCTTGCTGGCGCCACCCCCCTCCACCCCAAGACCACTTGCCCTCTTCTGCGTTGGTCCCTGGTGGGCATGGGGTTTGGGATTTCTTCCTCACCACCCTGTGCCCGTGGAGTCTGGCCTCTAAAACAGACGTAGCGAGGGGCTCTCCCAGGCTGGGAGCAGAGAACAGGTGGTCGTCTGCTCATCCCTCTGTTCTGAAAACAGCTTGGGTGTTAGTCTCTGCACCTCGGTGGGGAGTGTCCTGTGCCAGGGAGGGGAGTAATCAGGATACTGAGTTGCCAGGAACAGAAAACACAACTCGAATTGGTTTCAACTCTAAGGGCCAGGGTGGGGGGCTGCCTGTTTGATTTCTGCTCATGTAACTAAAAGATCAGGGTCAGGAGGGGACCGGGGGAGTGCTGACCCAGGCCGGACAGTGCTGTCTTCCTGTGTCTCCTCCCTGCCCTCGGGTCTCTGCTGCCGTCTTAGCCTGAGTCCAGGCCGTGGGAGGAAGGCCAGCACTGCCTGGAGCTGGAGCTTGTATGAGTCCCTTATGGCTGCTGTGACAAGTTACCACAAACGAGGTGGCTTACATCACCCCAAGTTTATTATCTCACAGTTATAGAAATCAGACATCCTAAAATCAAGGTGTCTGCAGGGCTGCATTCCTCCTGGAGACTTGAGGCGTGAATCTGTTTCCTCGCCTTTCCCAGCTTCTAGAGGTCCGCTGGATTCCTGGGCTTCTGGCCCCTCATCTTCAAAGCCAAGAGCTTGCCTCTCTCTCTTCCTCTCGATGCTGGAAGGGACGGGCAAGGAGCACCGGTTCTGTGGCTGCTCACCAAAGCAGACAGCAGATGTTGGTAGACACCAACTGTGACCTGTGGGCTTCATGAGTCCTGCTGGTCCCTAGGGGAAAAGTGCCCACAGGGCAGGGGTCCCAGCCCACCTGCAAGCCACCAGGTGCCCGGCTGGTACTGCCCACACCTCCCTAAGTACCCAGTTCAGGGGGAATTGTTCCCACTCACGGAGGCTTTGTAACAAAAAAGGAACCAGCATTGGACTTAAGAATACATACTACCTGCAAAAGAGAGTGGGGCAAGGAAAAAGGAAACGTAAACGAGGCAGGTGCCCACGCACGTCGGAATTGCCTCAGGACGCAGAAGGAAATTTCAGGAAAATTCCATGTAATCCAGACCATACTGACTCCATAATTTATTACTCCGTCTTAACAACTGCTTGTGGCGCGCCCGCTGTGCGCGGCTGGAGGAAACAGCAGTGACAGAAGCCGCGCCCTCCCGGAACCGCATCCCGTGCAGGTAGGGGCACACAGACACGGTAAGTAAAATGTCCAATGTCCGGTGCCAGCTGGTGGCAAGTTCTGTAGAGAAAAACAAAGCCACGGGCCGGCCCGGTGGCGCACTGGATAGTGCGCCGCTTGGGAAGCGCGGCGGCAGGGTTCGGATCCCACGTACAGACCGGTTCCTGCTCACTGGCTGAGCGAGGCGCGGGAGCAACGCCGAGGTTTGCAATCCCGTTGCCGGTCCCGGTCCGGTACGGGGGCAACACTGAGGGTTGCGATCCGTTGCCGGACACGGAAAAAAAAAAAAAAAGAAAAACAAAGCCAGGGAAGAGAGTGGCAAATTTGAGAAGGCCGCGTTCCAGCAGGGTTGTGCAGCTGCTGGAGACACGGGTGGGGCAGGCAGGGGGCGCAGGTGACATCTGCAGAAATCCTTGAAAATCGATGATAAAACAGAGGACGTAAAAATTATCTGACAACATTTGGCAAGAAATGGAAGAGAAAAATTAAAATCTTTACGGAAAGAAAACTCACTTCAGCAATTTCGAAAACTAAGAACAACTGTTGTTGGAAACGCAGTCAGGAACACAGAAGACGAGCTTGAGAAGCAGCACAGAAAACTAAATGGAAAAGAAAGACGCAAGTGACGCGAGGGAGGACAACAAAGACAGAGGCCAGACCAGGGAAAAGACGGAAGGAAAAATGCACAAGCGATAAAGCAGAAGAAAACTTTTCTGAACCAAATACCGGCGAGAATCTTAAGACCGAAACACCGATGCCTAGAAGTCAGCCAATGCGTGTGCAGACGGGGTCTCCGGGCTTCCAGGTGAAGACCCTGCCACTTTAGGCAGTGTGCATGGCTGTCACCCTCTGACCTGGTGGGGGGATAAGTGCCCACCCAAAGTCACGCCCAGCCCTGCGGTGCCTCAAGTGCAAAGGCAGCTGACACCTCACGGCAGCAAAGCCAAGGGGCACCGAGGGTAGCAAAGCGCTCACAGGAACAGGGAATCCGTTTCAGAAGCCGAAAGCTGAGCCCCTGAGAGAAGGCCAGCTGCACAAATCCCTCCCAGCACAAGTGGAGAAAGTGGCCCAGACAAGGCTAGGGGACCCTGGGGGGCTCTGCCGAGACACCCCCCTGACACCCCATCAGCCAGCCCTGGTCTCCAGACCACTCCTGTTCTGCTCTTAGGGTCAGAAATTTCTCTACATACCCTGGCTTGCTCAGTAACTTCTGGAAATGCATTTAGCCTTGTGGAGCCCCAGTTTCCCCATCTGTAAGACAAAGGTCCTCGTAGCCCCACCCTTCCAGAGTTCCTGTGAGGACTGAGGACTGGGTGTCTCGTCCCTCCCAGGACCTGGGTGCAGACGTCCTAGCGTGGGCAGGGTCGCCAGCCCTCCCCCAGTGGCGGGCAGCATTTCTCCCCACTCCCCACCAGCACCCAGTCCAGGCTGCCGGGGGCCCAGCCACCCACCTCACCATGGACTCTCTGCTCCCTCCCTTGCCCCCTTAATCCATTCTCTTTCCAGAGGCTGAAAAGCATCCGAAGCCCCCTTTCCCACCAACTCAGGACTTACCCACTGGCTCCAGCCACTCTGTTCCCTTTGGGGTCATTAATTCTCTGTGGTTAGAAGCTTCTGCTCCACCAGCCACCCTGTTTGTGGTCTGTGCCCCACTAGACCCCAGGAGAGCTCCTGGAAGAAGCCACGTGTGCCCAGGTCACACACACCTCCCCTGGCGCACTGCCTGGAGCACAGGAAGAACGCAGGGCACACCTGACAACAAGCGTAACAAAGGGACTGACTGACCGCAGGCAGGCCAGGGATGGTGTGCACCCCTAGGAAACGTGCTGCCCCAGAGCTGACTGGGGTGTGCCCCTCAGCTGCCCCCACGTCAAGGGTCAAGGGCAGGAGCCTGGGGATGGGAGCCCCGAGATCACGGAGCAGCCCACCACAGTCCCAAGATCGAGGGTCGGGGCCACACTGCCTGCAGGGCGCAGGGCGCAGAGGTGGCGCCCAGGTGGCAAGTCCCAGTAGCTCCCAGAGGAGGCGGGCCCTGGGCTGGACTTGGCTGGAGCCCAGACCTCACCAGGCAGACTTGCAAACAGGAAACACACGGACAGACGCACGCCTCTGGGGCCTCCAGCCAGCGAGCTGCACCCCCACCCCGGTCTGTCATGAGGGCTGCACTGACACCCCGGCCCCGCAGGCTGTGTGACCACTGGCGACCTACTTAACCTCTCCATGCGCCAGCACACCTCTGAACTTTGATTTTGAATATTGTTTTTCTGTTAACATCCTTGCACCTTTCTCCCTGATCCTCCCGCTTCTGCTCCTTAATACCATACACCCACCCCTACCTCCCTCCACCCCACAGGCTCCTGACCCCTAGAGGTTTGCTCTGTACGCCCCCTCCCCCAACTTCTCTCGTGTGCACCCACAACTGGCAGCTCCACCCCCGACCCGTGCCCAGCACACCTTCTCAGTGTCCCCCCAAATCCAGCACACGGGAGTCCTCCCTACCCCACGCCCTACTCTTTATCGACAAGTTCCCTCTGAGAGGCAACAGCCACCTGGGACCCACCTGAGAGTATCACTCAGCCTTCCAGGCACTCAGGTCCCAGTTTCTCAATCTAGTCGTGCACCAAGGCCACCTGAGGGCATAAACGCAGATTCCCAGACCCTGGCACACAGATGGAACCCTCCTGTCTGTTTTCTAAGCTCGCTGGGTGAATCCTCCAGTCTCTGCAGGCCTGCCTCCTCCAGAAAGCCCACCCCACACACTGGCTCCAGTGAGAGGGGATCCTGGGGGCGGCTGGTCCCAGGGGAAGGTTGCGGCTCCAAGCCTAGGGTGAACTGCAGTGGGGGCTGGCCCTGTAGCAGTCAGAGAAAGCGAGTCTCATAGTCCAGGCTCTCCCGGGGTCTGAGCCCCAGCAGCAGGCCCAGTGCAGCTCAGGGTCCGGGCGTCCTCAAGGAGGCTGTTCACAGCGCTGAGGCACCCACAGCCCTGTCTGCCAAGGAGGGGGGGAAGGCCGGCAGAACCCGCCTGGGGACCCCACAGGCCGCCAGGTAGTATCTCCCACGCACCACCCCTCCCAGGTGCCTCCTCTCCACCATCACCCCACCAGAGCTCCCTCCATCCCTGTGTGGCTCTGGCCCTCTACCCAGTGCCCTCCCATAGCCCCCAGAATGCCCTCTGCAGGGCCCCAGGTGGGCCCAGGTAGGCCCAAGTGAAGGGCGGATTCCAGGCCCGTGCCAGGCGTATGCCTCCAGGCCCGCTCTGCGCCGCACAAACTTGTCTCCCAGGATTTTTCCACACGAAACACGTCTCCCAGGGAAGCAACCGGTCTGATGAGCTGCGTGTGCAGGCGTTCCCACTCCGCCCTCCGGTGCCCCCACAATCCCATCCCACAGCAGAGCCCGCCCCGCACAAGCTGGGCCCGGGATGGAGCCCAGGACGCCTCGGCCCATAGCAGCCACCTCTGGGATGAGACAGGGGACTGGCAGGATCCAGACCACCAGCAGGGTAGGTCTCCCACCTCCGCCTTACCCCCACCCAGGCCCGGTGGCCCCACCACAGGCGTGACTCTGACCTTTTGGGGTCCCCTTTCCCCTTTGTAACCCCCATGCTCACCTTTGACTCCCAC